ATCCTCATACTCTCTCGAGTCTAACCATACCAAAATTATCCCAATCCAATGTCAAATTCCCAATCAAAACTCGGAATTTAGGTCTAAGAACTTTCTCCAAATTTTTTCCCTAATTGTCATCCCTAATCCGAAATTAAATGACAAAACTAAGATTAGATTATAGGAATACAGCTAGAAAGGGATTAGGAGTCGTTACCCACTGATTTCTTCTTCAAAATCCTCCAAAAATCACCCTCTCCCGAGCTCCAAATAAATTTTCTAACTTTTAAAACTAAACCCTCATTTCTTCCCCTTTTTTGACCAGTGAAAATGCATCTACGACTCTGGGACCGCACCTGCGGTCCCGCTTCTGCGAAGACCTGGTCGCATCTGCGACATTTCATTAAATGGGACTTTCCGCACCTGCAACTGCCTTTCCGCAGATGCGGTGCCTTGACCGCATCTGCGGTCAACTCCCTATTCGCCTCAAACCGCATCTACGGTACTTCAACCACTTCTGCGGGCTCGCACCTGCGGTCCCCAAACCGTTCGTGTGGTTATGACAACAGACTAGCAGTTTCAGCTGCAAACTCTCAACTCCAAACTTCTCGTTAACCATCTGAAATCATCCCGAGGCCCCCGGGACCTCAACCAAAAGCACGTACAAGTCATATACCACCATCCAAACTTATAAAACAACATCGAAACATTGAATTAACCATGGATTCAAGCCTAAGAACTCCAAAAACTCTCAATTTACACTTTCGATCAAAAAGTCTATTAAACCTCGTCCGAATGACCTGAAATTTTGCACACACGTCACAAATGACACAAAGGACCTACTCCAACTTCTGGAATTCCATTTCGACCCCTATATCAAAATCTCACTATCGAACTGGAACTTTCGGCATTTCAAGCCTAAATAGCATACGGACCTCCAAAACAGAATCCGAACACGCTCCTAAACCCGAAATAACCCAACGGAGCTAACGGAACCAACGGAATTCCATTCTGAGGCTGTCTTCACACTATTCCGACTACGGTCCAAATTCAAAAACTTAAACTCTCATTTAGGGACTAAGGGTCCAAAACTCTCCGAAACTCTAAATAATTCCCCCGGCAACTCACAACAGCAGAAACAAACATAGGGAATGTAGTTAATAGGGGATCGGGGCATTAATTCTTAAAATGACCGGCCGGGTCGTTACATCCTCCCACACTTAAACATTCGTTCATCCTCAAACGAGTATAGATACATACCTGTAGTAGTGAAAAGATGAGGGTAATGGCTGCGCATATCCTGCTCGGTCTCCCAGGTCGCCTCCTCGACCGGCTGACCCCACCATTAAATCTTCACATATGCAATGTTCTTTGACCTCATCTTTCGAACCTGCCTGTCTAATACTGCCACTGGCTCCTCAACATAAGATAGATCCTTGTCCAATTGGACCGATCTGAAATCCAACACGTGCGACGGATCGGCGTGATACCTCCGGAGCATCGAAACATGAAATACCGGATGAACTCCTGCCAAGATGGGAGGTAAGGCAAGCTCATAAGCAACCTCCCCAACACGCATCAAAATATCAAAAGGGCCAATAAACCTCGAACTCAACTTCCCTTTCTTCCCATATCTCATAACGCCCTTCATAGGCAAAACCCGAAGCAGAACCCGCTCTCAAACCATATAGGAAATGTCACCAACCTTCCGATCCGCGTAACTCTTCTGTCTGGACTGGCCTGTACGGAGTCTATCCTAAATCACGTTAACCTTCTCCAAAGCATCCTGAACCGAGTCTGTGCCTAATAATCTAGCCTCACCCGGCTCAAACCAACCCACCGGGGATCTACACTGCCGACCATATAAATCCTTATACGGTGCCGTCTGAATGTTGGACTGATAACTGTTGTTGTATGCAAACTCCCGCTAATGGAAAGAACTGATCCCAAGACCCTCCAAACTAAATCACACACGCACATATCATATCCTCAAGAATTTGAATAGTGCGCTCGGACTGTCCGTTCGTCTGAGGGTGAAATGTTGTACTCAACTCCACCCGAGTACCCAACTCATGCTGAACGGCCCTCCAGAACCGTGATGTGAACTGAGTACCTCTATCTGAAATGATAGAAACTGGAATACCATGTAGTCGAACAATCTCCCGGATATACATCACCGCCAACCGCTCCGAAGAATTGGTAGTACTCACAGGAATGAAATGCACGGACTTGGTCAGCCGATCCACAATCACCCAAATGGCATCGAACTTCCTCAAAGTCCGTGGGAGTCCAACTACGAAGTCCATGGTGATTCTCTCCCACTTCCACTCCGGAATCTCTATCTGCTGAAGCAACCCACCCGATCTCTGGTGCTCATACTTCACCCGCTGACAATTGAGGAATCGAGCTACAAATTCAACTATATCTTTCTTCATCCTCCTCCACCAATAGTGCTGTCTCAAATCCTGGTACATCTTCGCGGCACCCGGATGGATGGAATAACGCGAACTATGGGCCTCCTCTAGAATCAACTCTCGAAGCCCATCAACATTGGGTACACAAACCTGACCCTTCATCCTCAATACCCCGTCATCACCAATAGTCACATCTCTGACGTCACCATGCAAAACCTTGTCCTTGAGGACAAGCAAATGATGGTCATCAAATTAACGCTCCCGAATACGATCAAACAAGGAAGACCGAGAGCCACGCAAGCTAGAACCCGACTGGGCTCCGAAAGATCCAATCTCATAAACTGGTTGGCTAAGGCCTGAACATCCATCGCCATGGGCCTCTCTACTGCAGGTAAATAAGCCAAACTCCCTAAACTCTCTGCCCGGTGGCTCAAGGCATCTGCCACCACATTGGCCTTGCCCGACTGATACGAAATGGTGATATCATAGTCCTTCAGTAGCTCCAGCCATCTCCTCTGGCGCAAATTAAGGTCCTTTAGGATGCTCTAGTAAGGTTGGCAGGCTTTATGGATAGTGTTGCCAGAGCGGGTTTGCTGCCAGTAGCGCCAGCCACCTCTCAGGCTGGGGGAGGGGTTCAGACTCCTGCTACGCGCACTCCGGAGCAGGTAGCTCTACAGACTCATGCCCCAGTGGTACAGCCAGCTGCGGCAGCCCAGCCAGGTATTACAGCTCAGGCCGGTAATGGAGCGGCCATATCTTCGGATGCTTTGTGGAGACTTGATCGGTTCTCCAAGCTCTTCACCACCACTTTCAGCGGTGCTTCATCAGAGGATCCCCATGATTTTCTATTCAGTTGTCATGAGATTCTCAGGACTATGGGTATAGTGGAGACCAACGGGGTCGATTTTTGCACCTTCAGGTTTGCAGGGTCCGCCAAGACTTGGTGGAGAGATTTTTGCCTATCTAGACCAGCAGGGTCTCCAGCTTTGACATGGGATCAGTTCGCGCAGATATTCTTGGAGAAGTTTCTCCCCGTCACTCAGCGGGAGGCACTTCGTAGGCAGTTTGAGCGCCTCCAGCAGGGCTTCATGACAGTTACACAATATGAGACTAGATTTATCGAACTGGCACGCCATGCAGTTGTGATACTCCAAACAGAGCGAGAGAGGGTCCGGAGATTTATTAATGATTGATTCAGCCGATCCGTCTTCAGATGGCCATGAGAGTTGGTAGTGATATCTCTTTCCAGGAGGCGGCCAATGCGGCACGCAGAGTTGAGATGGCCCTCACTCGGGGAGGTGGTCAGATGTCGGACAAGAGGCCTCGTCATATTGGTAGATTCAGAGGTACCTCATCTGGAGGTAGGGATTCCTATGGTAGAGGTCAGGCACCGAGGCCCTTTCAGTCTGCGCTTTAGGTTTCTCATGGTGCTCTAGGCAGCGGAGGTTCTCAGCAGTATTATTCAGATCAGCAGCCTATCAGTGAACCCCTACTTTAGAGCTTCAGGGGAGGACATTCTGATCGACAGGGCCAGCAGTCGCAGCAGACGAGGTCTTGTTATGGTTGTGGTGACCCCGGTCACATTGTTAGGTCTTGCCCTCGAGCATCGGGCAGCTCTCAGCAGCAGGGTCCTCGCCCCACGATTCAGGCAGCAGGTGATCCACAGCCCGCCCAGCCAGCTAGAGGCGGGGGCAGGGATCATAGAGGTGGAGGCAGGGACCGTAGAGGTGGAGCTCGGACCGGCAGAGGCAGAGGACAACCAGTGGTTGATCGTCCTAGAGATGCAGTTCAGGGAGGTGGGGCCCAGCCCCAGTGTTATGCTTTGCCAGCCAGGCCAGAGGCTGAGTCTTCCGATGCAGTTATTACAGGTACTATTCTGGTCTGTGACAGGGATGCTTCAGTGCTATTTGACCCTGGGTCTACGTATTCATATGTGTCGTCTTATTTTGCTCCCTACTTGGCTATGCCCAGTGATGCCTTGGGTATTCCTGTTTATGTATCCACGCCAGTGGGTGATTCTATAGTGGTCGACAGAGTTCATCATTCCTGTGTAGTAGTATTTGAGGGTCGACCCATGTTGATCTATTACTTCTAGACATGGTTGATTTTGATGTTATATTGGGGATGGATTGGTTGTCCCCGTATCATGCGATCTTGGATTGTCACGCAAAGACTGTGACCTTGGCTTTACCGGACTTGCCCCGATTGGAGTGGAGAGGGACCCCAGGACATGCCACCCGCAGTGTCATTTCATATGTTAAGGCTCGACGCATGGTCAAGAAAGGGTGTTTAGCTTATTTGGCATATGTTCGTGATTCCAGCACAGAGGTTCCTTCTATTGACTTAGTTCCTATTGTTCAGGAGTTCCTAGAGGTTTTCCCCTCAGACCTGCCGGGTATGCCGCCCGACAGGGATATTGATTTTTGTATCGACCTGGCTTCAGGCATGCAGCCCATTTCTATCCCGCCGTATCGTATGGCCCCGCCAGAGTTGAAGGAGTTAAAGGACCAGTTGCAAGATTTGCTAGGGAAGGGTTTCATCAGGCCTAGTGTTTCTCCTTGGGGTGCGCCAGTGTTATTTGTGAAGAAAAAGGATGGATCGATGAGGATGTGCATTGATTACCGGCAATTGAACAAGGTGACGATAAAGAACAAGTATCCACTGCTGAGGATTGATGATTTGTTTGACCAGCTTCAGGGCGCAAAAGTGTTTTCAAAGATAGACTTGAGATCTGGCTACCACCAGCTGAGGATTAGGGCATCCGATGTCCCTAAGACAGCATTCCGCACTCGGTACGGGCATTATGAGTTCCTGGTCATGTCGTTTGGGTTGACCAATGCCCCAGCAGCATTCATGGAGTTGATGAACCGACTGTTCAGGCCGTATTTGGACATGTTCGTGGTAGTCTTTATTGATGATATTCTGGTGTACTCCCGCAGCCAGGAGGAGCACGAGCAGCACCTCAGAGTGGTTCTTCAGACTCTGAAGGATAGTCAGTTGTATGCGAAGTTCTCGAAGTGCGAGTTCTGGTTGAGTTCGGTTGCATTTCTGGGTCATGTTGTATCAGCAGAGGGTATTCAGGTGGACCCGAAGAAGATTGAGGCAGTCGAGAATTGGCCTCGACCAGCATCAGCTACAGAGATTCGGAGTTTCTTGGGGCTAGCAGGTTACTATCGTCGGTTCGTGGAGGGGTTTTCATCTATTGCATCCCCGATGACCAGATTGACGCAGAAGGGTGCCCAGTTCAGATGGTCGGATGAGTGTGAGGCGAGCTTTCAGAAGCTCAAGACAGCTCTGACTACGGCACCGATATTGGTTTTGCCCACAGGCTCAGGACCTTATATAGTTTATAGTGACGCTTCTCGTATTGGGCTTGGCGCAGTATTGATGCAGGATGGCAGGGTCATAGCTTATGCTTCGAGGCAGTTGAAGATTCACGAGAAGAATTACCCAGTCCATCATCTAGAGTTGGCAGCCATTGTTCATGCTTTGAAGATTTGGAGGCATTACTTATATGGTGTGACGTGTGAGGTGTACACGGATCACAAGAGTCTGCAATACTTGCTCAAGCAGAAAGAGTTGAACTTGAGGCAGCGGAGGTGGTTGGAGCTATTGAAGGATTATGATGTTACTATTTTGTACCACCCGGGGAGAGCCAATGTGATGGCCGATGCATTGAGTAGGAAGTCCGCCAGCATGGGTAGTCTTGCTTATATTCCGGTCAGCCAGAGACCGCTTGCCTTGGATATTCAGGCCTTGGCCAATCGATTTGTGAGGTTGGACATTTCTGAGCCTAGCCGAGTATTAGCTTGCATGGTTGCTCGATCTTCATTATTGGAGCGTATCCGTGATCGGCAGTTTGATGATCCTCATTTATGTGTCCTGAGAGACACCGTGCAGCGTGGAGGTGCCACGAAGGTGACTTTAGATGCGGATGGTGTTTTGAGGTTGCAGGGGCGAGTATGTGTGCCCAATGTTGATGGTATTGGAGAGTTGATCTTAGCGGAGGCCCATAGTTCTCGGTATTCTATTCACCCGGGCGCCGCGAAGATGTATCATGACTTGCGGCAGCATTACTGGTGGCGTAGGATGAAGAAGGACATTGTTGCATATGTGGCTCGATGTTTGAATTGTCAGCAGGTCAGGTATGAGCATCAGAGGCCTGGTGGTGTGTTTCAGAGGATTGAGCTTCCCGAGTGGAAGCGGGAGAGGATTACTATGGTTTCGTTACTAGACTTCCGATGACTCGGAAGAAGTTTGATGCTATTTGGGTCATTGTTGATAGGCTGACCAAGTGAGCGCATTTTATTCCTGTTGCAGCCACCTATTCATCGGAGAGGTTAGCGGAGATCTACATCCGAGAGGTTATTCGCCTTCATGGGGTGCCGGTATCTATTATTTCGGATCGGGGTACGCAGTTTACCTCGCGCTTTTGGAGGGCAGTTCAGCAGGAGTTGGGCACCCAGGTTCAGTTGAGCACAGCGTTCCATCCTCAGACGGACGGCCAGTCCGAGAGGACTATTCAAATATTGGAGGATATGCTCCGAGCCTGCGTCATTGATTTCGGAGGCTCGTGGGACCAGTTCTTACCTTTAGCAGAGTTCGCCTACAGCAACAGCTACTAGTCCAGCATTCAGATGGCTCCATATGAGGCGTTGTATGGTAGGCGATGTCGGTCTCCAGTCGGATGGTTTGAGCCGGGAGAGGCTCGGTTATTGGGTACAGATTTAGTTCAGGAGGCCTTGGATAAGGTCAAGATCATTCAGGACAGGCTTCATTCGGCTCAGTCGCGGCAAAAGAGTTATGCGGATCGTAAGGTTCGAGATGTAGCTTTCATGGTTGGTGAGAGGGTCTTGCTCCGAGTGTCACCTATGAAGGGCGTGATGAGATTTGGGAAGAAGGGCAAGCTTAGCCCTAGGTTCATTGGCCCATTTGAGATTCTTGATCGTGTGGGAGAGGTGGCCTACAGACTTGCCTTGCCGCCCAGCTTGTCAGCCGTGCATCCAGTATTTCATGTGTCCATGCTTCGGAGGTATCACGACGATCCAGCTCACGTGTTAGATTTCAGCACTGTCCAGTTGGACAAGGATCTGTCTTACGAGGAGGAGCCGGTAGCCATTTTAGACCGGCAGATTCGATAGTTGAGGTCGAAGAGTTTTCCATCAGTACGTGTTCAGTGGAGAGCTCAGCCCCCTAAGGCATCGACCTGGGAGTCTGAGTCTGATATGCAGAGCCGTTACCCTCATCTATTTCCTGACTCAGGTACTTCTTTCTTTGTCCGTTCGAGGACGAACGGTTGTTTTAGAGGTGGAGAATGTTACGACCCAAAGGGTCATCACCGTGGTTCTCCCTTTTTCCACGCTTCTGAGGCCTTGGAAACCTCACTTTTGGTTGCCTCGATTTGCATGCGCACTCCGGGCGCGAAGCCAGAAACTTTTTATGTTAAAATATATGAATTCTATGAAAAATTTGGTGAATTATGATATTAATATTGATATAGTTGACTTTGCTCAACATTATGGGTAAACGGACCCGGACCCGTGATGTAACGGTCCCGGGAGGTCCGTAGAAAAATATGGGACTCGGGCATGTGCCCGGAGTCGAAATCCGAGGTCCAGAACCCCGGTAAAAGAATTTTTCTGATAAATTGTTTTCTGAAATTAATAAGGAAAAATGGAAATGAAAATGAGTTAGAAAATATAGGTATCGGGCTCGTATTTTGGTTCCGACGTCCGGTAAAGGTCTTAAATATGCGTTAAGCGCTTCCTGTGAAATTTGGTCGAAATCGGACGTTGTTTGACGTGTTTCGGACCTAATTAGCTAAAGTTGAAGGTTTATGAACTTTGAAACGGAAATTATGAGTTTTGGGGGTTGATTCTTTGATTTTGATGTTATTTTAGCGATTTAATCGCTCGAGCAAGTTCGTAGGATGATGTCGAGTTAGTGTGTGTGTTTGGTTGGGAGCCCCGAGGGCTCGGGAGTGTTTCGGAGGTGTTCCGGGAGGTTTTAAAACTTAGAAAAGTTGCAGAAAAGTCTGCAACAGGTGCCCAGTCATTTCCTTCTTCGCGATCGCACTCTCTCTCCCACGTTCGCGAAGCATCAGAATTTCCTTCACCGCGTTCGCGTACAACATCTCGCGTTCGCGTAAGCCAAATTTGGGACCCGAGTATTTTTCCTCTTCGCGTTCGCATTCAACTGTTTGCGAACGCGTAGCCTTGCAGCTTTCTTCAGCGCGTTCGCGTGGGCTTTCACGCGTTCGCGTAGAACAAATCCTGGACCCCCCCCCAGTGTTTCTCCTTCGCATTCGCATCCTCCCAATCGCGAACGCGTTGACCTGCCCAGTTACCCTTCGCGAACGCGGCCCTCTTCCCGCGAACGCGAAGGGCAATTTTGCCCAGTTATATTTTTAATTTCCAGAACAGTGTAGTTACGGAATTTCATGAAAACACACGAGCTCCTTCTTCTCCAAGGTCTTTAGGCGTCCATTGAAGCTCCCTTTCACCAAAACTTCTTGGGTTAGTAAATCTTAACTCGTTTTCTTCATTTTCATCAATATTTGTTGAATTCCTAAGCCTAAAACATATAATTTAGGGTAGAAATTGGGGGAAATGGGTAGAGTTAGGTTTTTGAAAATTTTGGGCGATTCAACCTCAATTTGGGGTCGGATCTTGAAACAAATTATATATTTGAACTCGTGGGGTTATGGGTGATTGGAATTTGGTCCGAGCCTCGAGTTTGGACCATGTGGGCCCGGTGTCGGATTTTGCTATTTTTGGAAGAATGGTAGGAAATTCATTTCTAGGCTATGGGATTATGTTGTTGAGCCTCATTTGATATTATTGAATTAATTATGATTAGATATCATTGTTTCGGAGTCGAATTCTAGAGGAAAGGCGGTGTTAGAGGCTTGATTGCTATTTTCGGACCGAGGTAAGTGTTTGATCTAACTTTGGCTTGAGGGAATAGGATTAGAGTATCATAAATGCTATTTGCTAATTGATCGAGTACGGTGTATAGGCGTGGTGACGAGTGTCTATACACCGGAGTCTAGCATGACCGTGGGTCTTTGTTTGTACTTGTTTATGAGATAATTTGGAACTCTTCTAAGCTACAAAATGTTTTTCTGCAAATGTGAAGGGTCGGAGGATAAGTTGTGAAATATTAATATTTTGGAGCATTGGCTCGAGTGTTAAATACCATTGAGTAAGAGATGAACGTATTGAAAAAGAGTTGTGATTAATCCCGTTGCCGGGTATGGTATGNAGTTCCCTTTCCTCCACAACTCGTTGGGTAAGTAATCCTAACATCGTTTCCTCATTATTTTATCATCTAATCACTAAATTCTAGGCCTAAAAACATGAAATCAAGGTAGAAATTAGGGCTTTTGGGTAGAGTTAGGTTTTTGAAAATTTTGGGCGATTCAACCTCAATTTGGGGTCGGATCTTGAAACAAATTATACATTTGAACTCGTGGGGTTTATGGGTGATTGGAATTTGGTCCGAGCCTCGAGTTTGGACCATGTGGGCCCGGTGTCGGATTTTGCTATTTTTTTGAAAGAATGGTAGGAAATTCATTTCTAGGCTATGGGATTATGTTGTTGAGCCTCATTTGATATTATTGAATTAATTATGATTAGATATCATTGTTTCGGAGTCGAATTCTAGAGGAAAGGCAGTGTTAGAGGCTTGATTGCTATTTTCGGACCGAGGTAAGTGTTTGATCTAACTTTGGCTTGAGGGAATAGTATTAGAGTATCATAAATGCTATTTGCTAATTAATCGAGTACGGTGTATAGGCGTGGTGACGAGTGTCTATACACCGGAGTCTAGCATGACCGTGGGTCTTTGTTTGTACTTGTTTATGAGATAATTTGGAACTCTTCTAAGCTACAAAATGTTTTTCTGCAAATGTGAAGAGTCGGAGGATAAGTTGTGAAATATTAGTATTTTAGAGCATTGGCTCGAGTGATAAATACCATTGAGTAAGAGATGAACGTATAGAAAAGAGTTGTGATTAATCCCTTGCC